GGGCGGGGTGAGGTGGGAGAGGCACAGGGAGACCCGGAAGCCCGGGGGAGGCTTTTAGATTTTATTCCCAATGTAGCACTCCCCACAGTCAGCCCCAACCTACCTTTCCAGTCCCTTCCCCACCATTCCTCGACTAAATCTCAGCTCCAGTCCCTCTTTGACCCCTGGGTGCCCCCCGGAGCAGCACTGGCCACCTCTGACTCCCAGGAGGGTCTATTTTCCTCAGGGCTCCCACACTGGCCACCAGGAGCCGCTGGGCCTCAGAGGATCACCTGGTGGGAACTGCTAACTGGGTCTAAAGGTGGTGGTGAGGTGAAGGGGTGACCTTAGACCTCAGTGTCCCCATAGGACCTGGGATATGAGGGGTGTCTGTGCATGGGAACCTTCCATGCAGGACCCCTCAGATGGGGGATGAAGGAGGACCCTACAGTCACGGGGGAGCAGAGGGAAGAAGCTGAGGCTGACAGAGGTGAGAGGAGCCGATTCCGAGCAGACACCTTTATCTGAGGAGATGCGCTCCCACCGCCATTTTCCATCCTGTGGAGCAAGGGAGAAGGGGGTGAGACTGGAGGCCAGGCAGGAGCGGGGAGGTGCCTGGAGCTCTGGGTCCCATCCGCCCTCACCCCAGGGGCAGAGTTTCACAGACTTGGTGAATGTCCCCTAAAAAGGGGCAAAGGGGCTGAAACTGGGGCCCTGGATCCTGGTTTCCCCAGGCCAACAGGGGCGGGAAAAGGAGTTCAAGGGGGAAATGGGCCCAGGGGCCAGACGGTTCAGTGAGCTGTCCCCATGGCAATGTCTGGGAAGGGGAAGCTAGCCTAGGAGCTTTACTGGGTGGGGCTGGCAGGAACTGGCACCGATGGTGCTGGGTAATAAATAGGTGCGGGATGGAGGAAGTGAGAGCAGCAGGTGCACTCGGGATAGGAGAGTGACACACAAATGACTGTGATGTGTGAGAATGGCTGAGCCGTGACATGAGGGTGAACAGCAAGGGACTGGTGGGAACGACTCATTGAAACAAGCAGGACTAGACATATGAGCAATGACAGGCAACATTCGCATGCACATGCGCAAGGCACTGCTCTGCCCTCGGAAGGAGCAGTAACTCTCTCCCGTGCAATGAGGTAGGTGCTCCCCCACATTATAGACAAGAGCCTGAAGTCCTGGGGGGGTGGAAGGGGTGAGGTCACGTTCTCAGGATAGCACAGCTATGAGTGGTAGGGCCTGGGTTTGAGTCCAGAGTTGGTGCGCTCAGTCCCCGAGGCGCTGCCTGTCGTGCATGCGACAAGTTAACGTAGAGCCAAAGTTACCGGTGGTGCCGCCGCCTCTCCGGCCAGTGCTCCCGCAGCAGGTTGCTAAGCCGGGCGTCCTTGCTCACCAGGTCTGAGAGTTTCTGGGAGGAGCCAAGATGCACTGAGACGCTGTAGCCGCGTCCACCCGGGCAGCCCTGTCCAGCCTGCCTCACTCCCAGGTACCTGGAGAAAGCTGCTGGCCACGGGGTCAGTGTGGAGCATGGGGCCATACAGGGCCACCCACTGGCTGACCAGCCGCAGGATCTGCTGTCTCTTGTTGCAGATGTAGATGTTGCGCTCCTGCTCACTGCCTCCCGCTGGCTCCGCGTGGAAGGTGAGCGCCAGTCAAGGAAACCACAGCATCCAACTGAGCCACCCCCCGCACCTCAGGCAGAGGAGGGTGCTGACAGGTCTGGCATGAGGCTGGTACTTTGGAGGGTTCGGCACAGCCATGCTATGAGCGATCCCTTCTCCCCACTCCACACACCGTCCCTGGGGCTGGAAGGATATTGGTGCAGGAGGGCAGTGCAGAGCTGGGTGCTGGGCATGAAGACTCTGTGGGTCAGGAGGAAGTCACTGAGGAACGTCTCTGTAGGGCAGGCAGGGATGGGAGACAGGTGGCAGGTGGGGCTTCAGATGTCAAGCCCAATGGACACAGGTACACACACAGCTGGAGTGCCAGCCCCCAGTGCTGCCATGGTCAAAGTACCACCGATGCCCAGCCCCTGTGACTGCACTCCCTACCCAAGCCAAGAGCACAGGAATGAGGATTTACTGCCAACTGGCCCCACGAACCAAGCCGGCACCCAATCAGGTCAGAGGCAGGTGCCCAGCCCTCTCCCAGGCTGCGCTGACCACCTGATGAGTCAGACAGGCAGGTGTCTCCTGTCCCTACCTGTTGGATCATGAGCACTGGAATCAGGCCTCATGGCCTCCAACAGCAGTTCTAGGATCTTCTCCGGGGTGCCAGACATCACCGTATACCTGGTAGAAATGGCCAATCCATGCCCTGGTGCCACCACCCCCCCTCCCACAACTCGGACAGATGGCAGTCATCAGTCATATCACTCTTCCCTGTTTGTCTGCCCTGCCCCACCTAGGGGTGGAGGGATGGCTATTCAGGGGTACATCTGAGTCCCGGGATGTCTCTCTACCCAGGAGGCCAGCAGGCAGGGGTATGACACGAGGAAGGGAGCAAAGCCTGGGAAATGGAGGAGAGAAGGTGGAGAAGGAGCTTGGTGGGTGTGTTACCGGTTCCTGCCTGGGGTTGGGGGGCAAGAAGAGGCAGCGCCCTGAGAGGTTCTCTCCAGCACCAACACCACTTTGCCGTGCTCTTCCAGCCTCATGGTCTTTGCTTCCACGTCCTGAAGAACAAGCCACACCCAGTGCTCAGCACACACCATGCCCCTTCCCCATCTCAGGCACCTCTCCCCACACCTCCCTCCTTCAGACCCTGAGCCCCACAAGGACCCTCAGCCCTTCTCCCACTCTATTCAACACCCACCACTTGAATCTGCCCTTCATCCCACCCCTGCTTATCACATAGCCTGAGCCCCTCCTCTGCTCCATCCCTCCCCACCCTCCCTCCATGGATCCCACCCTCCATTACACTGCCCCTCTCACACCCTAGTCCCCCACCCCTCGGTAGCCACACTGTCCCCATTGTCTCCCGCACAGACGGTGGCGGAGTTCACGGGCTCATGGAACCTCATCAGCATGCCGTGGACTTCCTCACCCCCCCAGGCTGGGCTCCCGCCTCCAGCCATCATCTCTGAGCTTCTCCATTTCCTCGCTCCCTGCCCCTCACAGGCTCTCTCTGGTCCCTCCCCTGCCCCACACTTCTCCAGAGAACTGTGCTTGCCACGTCCCCTGCCCTCCCCACCCCCAGCAACGGCACCTTGATGATACGGTTGAAGTCCTGCTTGTCCACTCGGAGAAAATGACAGTTGTCTTCTCGCAGGATGATGGTGGCTGCCCGGGGTGCGTCGTTCACCAGAGCCAGCTGTCCGAAGTCATCTCCCTCATGCAGTGTGGTCACCAGCCCCTGGAGCCAGGCCTCAGTCACAGCCCGCCCAGCCCCAGCCCTCATGGAACAGAGCCACAGCGGGGAGAAGCTCCGGGGCACGAGGAGACCTGGGCGTCAGCAGCCTTGGGTCCACCAGAGGCACTGCCCGTGGGGACGACCAGGGAGCAGTGACCACCCAGAGGGCTGGGGAGCTGGGCGCACTCACCTTGCCGTGGGTCACCACATTGACGGATCCCTTCCAGATGATGTACCACGAGGTGCCTTTGTCCCCCTGGCTGAACACTGAGAAGAGCACAGGTCAGACACGCCCCAGCACCCACCACCTCTCTGGGGCCCCCAACCATGTCCAGGTCCCTGGTGCCCAGCTTCCTGCCAGCTGTCTGACTTACACACAGTCCCGGCCTTGCTGTGGGGTTCAAAGAGCAGAACTGCTGCTAATTCCCGCTTCACCTGTGGGGAAGGGGAGGGGGGTCAGTGGGCAAGTCCAGGGCAGAGGACCAGGTGAGGGGTGAGGAGGGAAGGCCCAAAGACATGAGTGCCTGGGGGCAGAGATGTGGCTAGGCCAGGTGGCCTGGGATTTGGGGGTTGGAGGACGGCTAAGAGAGGCAGAGGGTTTTCAGACAAGGATGCTGGGAACAGCAATTTAGATGGAAATTTCCAAGCCATAGGCAGAATGGGAGGGACGTGTTTTCTGGGCCAGCAGCTGGCGCCTCCTGGGGTGGTCACAGGAGAGGAGGCTCCTGGGGAAAGGGCAGGGCGGGGCAGGGCGGGGCCTGCGACTGACCGAGTTGGAGAGGTGGGCCACAGCCTTGATGTGCAGCAGCTCCTCAAAGATGAGCTCCAGCTCCTCGTCCGTGCGCTGCCCTGGGCTGCAGGCCAGGGAGGACCAGAAAGCAAAGGATGAACTCCAGCCGGGACCAGGGCTGGGACCACTCACCCACAAAGCACAGGCCTGAGGCCAGCCGGTGCCTCAGCAAGGATTGTTATCACTAATGGCCAGCCATTCCCCAGTTCACACTGTGCCAGACACGGGACTAAGTGCTTCACACGCATCATTTCAATTGTCCTCACGACAACCCGTGACGTGGGCATTCTTGTTTTCCTTTGACGGAAGAGGAAGCTGGCACGGAAAGGCCCAAGGCCACCCAGCTCGCAGCCAGTAGAACCAGAATTTGAACCCAGACCTGCCTGAGGACTCGTGAGCCCACCCTCTCTCAGCCATTGCTGCCACTCAGAGTGGGCAGGGTCTTCAGAGGCCTCGTGCCCCACACCCTCAGTTACAGAGGAAGAAACGGGCTCAGTGGGGAAGGAGGGCTCAGATCACCCAGCAAGTCTGGCAGAATGCAGGTCAGAGCTCAGGCCTCTGATCCAACCGGGGTCCTGTCTCTCAGCAAGAAGTAAGGGAGCCCCTCGGAGACGAAACTGAGAAGCTATGGGGTCTGGGAGTCGTGTGGGGCCTGGGGTCTCGGGGTGCAGGGTGCAGGGTGCCAACTCACGGCTTTCGAAGTGCCACAGTGAGCAGGGCATCCGGTCCCCGCTGGGAGAGCAGGGCCATGGCCTCAACCAACTCCTCCTCCAGCTCATGGACTCCCGAGGGCTCCGGCTCTGGACCCGGGAAACGGTAGAACTGGGTGTCTCGGTCCTGGAAGGTCCAGTCGTGTTTCACTGCGGGAAGAGGCCCAGACATGGGGGAGGAGAGGAAATTGAGGCTGAGGGGGTCTGAGGCCCTACTACAATGCTCATCCCTCCTTACCCCAGATGCCCACTCCCCAGGACTGCCCAGCCCCGGGTACCCTGCCCTGGGCTCAGGCTCACCATGGCAGAGGGCACCTTCATCCAGCAGGACTTGACAGATTCCCACGGCTTGGCTCCGTGAATGTACCCCAAGCCCCAGGGCCAAGATCCCATCCACTAGCTCCCGGCCTGAGCAGCATTGCCTACAAGAGTTAAGGGGACAGGGAAAAGGACGGACAGTCAAATGGCAGGAGGGGAGAGGAGAGAGGGAGCAACTGTCCATCCAAAAGGCACCTTCCTAGGCCCAGCCCCAGTTCTGCTAGAAGCAGGGCCAGGCCCAGATGCCAGGAATAGAATGAAAAGGAAGAGAAAAACAGAGGGGTTGGGCCAGGAGGCCGGCAAGGCCTCCACTCACCGATAGAGCCTAAGGTGGTACTTTCTGTCTCGGATGAGGTTCTGGCAGGTGGCCAGGAGATGTCGATGCAACTGCTTCCCCGCCCTGAGCACCCGCTCTGTGGAAGCCTGGGGGGCGGGCAGCACAGCTGGCTCAGGCCCTGACCCACTGGCCATGCTGCCCCCCCGACCCCCCCCAGCTCCACCCTCAGGCTTGTACCTGCTCCAGGCTCACACTGAAGTCCAGGGACTCCTCGCTGTTGGTGAGTGGTGTCTGAGGGCAATGGGAAGAGTCTGCACGTTAGTGCCAGGCCCTCCTTCAAATCCAGCTCCTGGACTCCACCCCTCCCCCATCCCTGCACCCCTTGCCCAACCCCCAACTCCAAACGCATCCATTCAGCTACTCATTTAACAAATACAGTAGTCTCCCTCCTATCTGTGGTTTTGCTTTCCAAGATTTCAGTCACTCACACTCAACTGTGGTCCGAATGGAAAATTCCAGAAATAAACAATTCATAAGTGTTAAATTGTGTGCCATTCTAAGCACTGTGATCAAATCTTGTGTTGTCCCCCTGGGACATGAATCATCCCTTTGTCCAGCATATCTTCACTGTATACACTACCCACCCGTTAGTCACTTAGTAGCATCTGGCTTATCAGATCCATTGTTGTGGTAACCCTTAGCCCTGGCCGGGTAGCTCAGTTGGTTGGAACATCATCTGGTGCACCAAAAGGTTACAGGTTTGATTCCCTGTCATGGCACATACCTAGGTTTCAGGTTCGATCCCTGGTCAGGGTGCATAGGGGAGGCAACTGATTGATGCTTCTCTTTCTTTCTCTCTCTCTCTCTCTCTCTCTCTCTCTCTCCCCCCCCCACTTCCTCTCTCTAAAATCAGTAACATATCCTGCAGTGAGGATTAAAAGAAAAGTAAGCCCTATTTTACTTAATACTGGCCCCAAAGCACACCATTAATGGTGCTAGTGATTTGGACATGCCAAAGACAAGTAGTAAAGTGCTTCCTTTAAATGCACAGATATATGTGTTTAGGAAAAACAGTATGTATAGGATGCAGTACTGTCCCTGGTTTCAGGTACGTGCTGGGGTCCTGGAACATAGTCGCTGGATGAGGGGCGACAACTGTAAACAAATACTCACTAATCACACAGTGTGCCCGGCATCGCCTCTTCCCCACCCTGCTATCCTGTCCCCAGTCACCCAAGCACTTCATCCCCACAGATGAGCACCCCGAGACCCCAGTTCTGCTTACTCGGGGCCCAGGTGTGCCCAGGCTCCCAGGTACCTGCTCCTGGAAGAGCATGAGGACGTGCGATAAGAAGGCCCTGAGAGGCCCGGGGGTGCATGGCTTGGGAGGCCGGGAACACTTGTTCCTCAGCTGGCGTCACAAGGCCTGATCCCAGAGCCAAGGTCTGTCCCCAACCACAGGTCCGTGGGCAAACCTGCCCTGTGTGGGCTTCCGCGCACCCTGGTGGTTAACAGGAACCTTGGAGCCAGACTCCTGGCTCCAAATCCCTGCTCCTCCATTTATCAGCAGTGTGGCTCTGAATACAGCACTGCCTGGTATAGAGTTGTGTGTACATGTCAGCTGTTTTACTCATCTGAGAAGCAAAGGGTGGCTGCTTGCACAACGCTCCTGACCTCTCTGAGTTGCTGCTGCTAGTCCCTAACCCTGTAGAGTGAGGAGGGCCGGGAAGCACACAGGACTGGCTCCAGAAGACGGGGTTTACGTAGAAACATCGGTTAACAGGTTTCCTGCCTTTTGTATCAATCGAGCCACCCAGCCTAGGTGCCCCGGATGTTGGCCATGAAAACCTCTCCCGACCCTTTTCTCCGCCACCTGAGAACTGGAATTTGTGGACATCCCTGGACAGGATGCCCTTCCTGTACGAGCCCTCCCTGAGGCAGAGCGCTTTACAAGCATGATCACCTCTGTGACTCCCTCTGATCCTGTATTAAATAGGATCAGACGTGAGCGAGGCGGGGCAGGTATAATCTGTCTTCTTTGATTTACGAGGAAACAAAACTCTTGAGGTGAAGTGCTCAGGTAACTCAGTCATACATACTTGAGACAGCCAGACAGCCTCGGATAAACTCGAGTTCCGACCAGAAGTGCTCACATTCTTGGTCTCGCTCCACCCACCACACCTTCCCCTTCCTCTCCCTTCCCCCTTCTTCTTACCAGCACTCTCTCCCTCTCCTGCTTTCCCATCTGCACTCAGGTCCCTGAAAATGACCTGGCTGGGGAGCTGGGGTACAACCAGGCCTGGGGCCAGAACCCCCTCCCCTGATTCTGGCATCTTCCACCGTATGCCAGGCAGAGGCCTGAGGCCTGGCATGTGTAGATGCTTGGCCCAGCGCTGAGCGGAAGTCACTAGGTGTCCCAAGGGTATCCCTGCCCGGGTCATGGGGCCCAGCCTGGTGCCAGACA